TTTTATGTATACCAAATGGATATCAATATACAAATCACAAATATTTTTTGAGTGAATTCAAAGATGGTGATTGATTCTGGGTCATTTGGTGAAGTCATATTCTTGAATACTAAGTATTGTACCAATCGAGGTAATAGGTCTCTAACATTATGTTCAAGTTTTAACCATTATTGAGGTGTTGTTATGTTTAGGGCAACCTTGTTGTATGATGAAACAATAGAATCATTTTAATGGTTATTTGAGACATTCTTGAAAGCACACAATAAAAAAAAAAGAACAATATTTACAGTTCAAGATCAAGCAATGACCAAGCTTGAGACATATCATGTTTTATGCACATGACACTTAATGCAAAATAGAATAAAATACGTTAGCAATTTGATGAAATGAGTCTTTTTAAGATATTTGAAAAGATATGTGTATGAGTTTGACACTTCAATTGACTTTGAGGAGTCTTGGATGTCTATAATTACATAATACATGTTGTTAATTTATTCCATACAAGAGAAATTAACATAATGTTACCCCAAGAATATATTCATCCTTGGAATGCAAAGTACTTAACTAAGTGAAAGCTTAAATTCTGATTTCAAAGCGTATATGAAATTTAGTGTTGACATAAAATAATTTTTTGGACATTTTGAACGAGTTGGCAAGTGTACAACAAGTCAAAGTGTGAGTATGACTCTCGCCACAACTTAACTATGTTGCTATATGAGTTATCCCTAATACTAATAAAAATGACCAAGATTTACACACACAGTGTTGAACTTATTCCAACAACAATTTGCTCAATTATTGGCTTGTTGCATATAACAAAAGATTTAAAATTCTCCTTTGATTGGATATGTCATTATTAAAGCCAACTAACAAATATCATAGATAGTTACATTTTATTGTTCTTTAACTACTATATTTTACTCTTGTAAAAAGTCTAAAACATTTAGCATACTTTTTTCTCATGCTTTGAAAGTGTTTGAAGCCAATTGTGTAAAAATTGTCCCTAAAAAATACATACTTAAGATATGGACAAATGAAGGCCGTTGTGAGATTATTCACAATGTAAAAGGAATAGAGGTGGAAGGATATCCTAAACTTAATACCACACGCCAATACTATCACCTAGCATGTAAATTGATTAGGTTGGCATCTGAGGTGTGTCCTTTACAAGAATACTGTCAATTAGTTGAAAACAATTTTAATACTTTAATCAACAAAATGTGCAAAGCTTCACTCATAAGCATAAACTAATCACAAGAATAAGAATGATGCAGAAGTTATGGTCAATAATGATGATACGTAACCTCAGGGATTCAAGCAACGTCCAAACATCAAGAGAAATAGGCATAAAGATTAAAAAGTTGTGTTGGACTACAAGAAAAACAAAACAAAACAAAACTCCAATTTTAGGTCAATCCACATCTCAGTATTTTTTATAATATTTTTAATATTAATAAATATATGTATTTTAAGTTGCTTATTATAACCATATAATAATTTTTATGTGAATATATTTTAGGAATATCAATCAATGTTTTATAATCCATTTGAAGTACCATGTGTCACCTCCATGTTATGATCCACCTCACACATTAGTCAATCAATTTAGTTTCAGACTGTTCAACTTAATTTTACATCAATAAAATTCTCTCTTTTTCTCATGCATAGTTGTTAATAATTTCTCTTCTAGTTTTATAGGGACAATTTCATGATGCCAATGGTTCAATCTTTGATCAAAATTAATTACGCAACTACCAAAACTTCTTTTTGTTTCTTCATGTATTTATCAAGTGTAAGTTGAAATACTACGTCATCAAATGTATTTAGCTCAACCTTGTATGTCATCTGTTTCTGAATAATAATCACACTTTTTGCATTATTCACTTAAGCAAGTAAATTTTTCTTAAGCAAATCCCAATTTGGTGCATTTTAGCCAAGTTGGCTAAAGTGAAAACTACATTTGCTTAAGCAAATCAATTTAACTAAATGACACGATTTTCAACCACTGCTCTTTGTCTCAAATTTGCTTAAGATTAATTAAATTTGTTTGAATTAACTTAAGTGAATTACAAGATTTAAATCAACAATTTTCTGTTCCAAATTTGTTTAAGATTAATTATTTTTGCTTTGATATAACACCCTCAATTTTATTGCCTTTGTCTTTGAAAAAATAGGAATTTCGGTGCAAGGTTTCTCGGTCGAGGGTGTTTTGGACCAAGCATTCTAGGGCTCTCTCGCTCAAGCGAGAGAAGATAATATTACCCCAACTGTTCTCTCGTTTAGGTGATTATAATTCAGGTATTATAATACATTGACAGATGTAATTACAATTCATGTATTGTAATGCATTGATTAATATGGTTATAATATACGTATTATGACATATTGCTCAATTTAAGAATATATGAAATGATATGAGCCTAGTGTATGATTGAAAGTACTAATTATATGATTGTTATCGTGTTTGAACTGCTGTAGAATTCGTTAGTACAATATCTGAATTAGCATTATCTTAGTGCATATTGTATTAGATAATATTTATGTGTTACATGATTTTTTTTATAAAATAAAGGATTTGGTAGGGCGAGAATATTCACCCTTATAATTATTTTTCAAGAAATGAAATTGAAAAGTAAAGGAAGGTTGATTCGATCTAAAATCATACTCTTATTGAGATTGTAAGGAAGAGTTGCTCTGATAATGTTTAGATTAATTCAAGGACTGTAATAATTTTCATTAAATTCTATTTTTAATTGATATGATTATGTAGATATTTAGTAAAAATTTGTTATAATAATTAATTCAAAGTATTTGTAATATTGATAGTTAGTTAATTTAATTATAGTTTACATTCTTTTTACATAAAAAATTATCCTGCTAACCAGCAAAGTTTTCACTCTAATTATAGATTTAATTATAGTTTAAATCTAAATGTATACAATATAAACTTTTGTTTTCACTCTAATTTTTACGAATCTAAAGATTTAGAAATTATTCCTTTTAAAATTTTAAACGCCTTTGAGTTTTCATAGATAAAATAAAGAAATGTAATTTTTTCCTTTTCACTTATAGTCCTTAATCTATAAATATTAAATGAATTTATTTTATTTTTCTTCCTTCATTATAAATTACTATACGTATTTGAGATATAAAATAAGGATGTTACATTAGACATGCTTAAGCCATTTTGCTTAAGTTGCTTAAGCGAGATAACTTCAAATCTTTTTCTATCTCACTTAGGCAAGTTTCAGACATTGTCTTTTTTTTCACTTAAGTGAATATTACACATTTTTGCTCAAATAAGAAAAATTTTGCTAAAGCGAAAACTAACTCCAAGGTCATATTCATTCCAAAACTTTTAAGGATTCGTATCCTCTAGCTACCCATGTCCATTTGTGGAGCTATGCCACACTAGAATCATTAATATTTGCAAAAACTTTTAATATTCTCAGACACATCAACCAGAAGCCATATTTTTTGAAGGAAATGAAACTAAGAATGATATATAAAATGAAGTTAAGAAATATATAATTAGAAAAATCTAGAGTTAGGTATAAAGGCTTATAAATTAGAGATTCTGTTAAACATAATCTATGTTATTAACAATTCAGTGGTTCAGTAGATTCCTAACTATTGATTCACGATAAAGAACACCAAAAGGTACTACTCGCTTTGTTTCTCTTTACATGAGGAAGAGAACAACTTGATTATAAATCTGTAGAATCCATTACCCACTCCTAGTTCTTAGTTACTAGAATCAACTGTTTCTACCTATGCTCTAGTGTCGAGTTCACCTAGGTGGAAACCTAGCTCTATTTATATGTAGAAATGGTTGGTGAAACTGTTGGACAAACAAGACTTGTCATTCAGGCTTTATCCATACTAGAGGGATTCTAGAAGGATTGATGGGAGAGTTTCCATGAGTTAGGGTTTTAGTTGGAGAGTTCATAGATTAAAAAAAAGGAAAAGAAAGAAGAATCAAGAGAAAAAATAATTTTAATTTTTTAGAGACTTTTTTTGTAAATTTAATTTTTACATAATAAAATATAAAATAATAATCATGATGCAACAGTATATGAAAGTGATGAGTAAATTTTTGTTATCCAATTTATTACTTAACAAAACATAATCAACAACATGGACTAAATTTTTACATTTTTAAAATAGTGGGAACTAAATGCTAACAATTTTTATTAAGACTTATCTTAAAAGGTGCTACTTTTATAAGAAATAAAAACATAATTAAGTCTATATATAATTTTTGTGTATACTAAAAATTGACAAAATTAATTTTATTTATAATAGTTTATAATAAAATTATTGATTAGTTGTAAAAAAAATTATAGAAATATAAAATATAACTTTTTATACTCAATAATATAATAATTATAATACATAATAAAATATTTTTATATTCATAAAAGGTATATTATATCATTAATAAATATTTTATGATGTATGATAATTGAATAGTATATTATAATTTGAAAGAGAAAAGTATGAAAAAATAGACAAAATATTAGTCATAATTAAAGTAAAAAACTTTGAAAATGATGACTGGAGATAAAACCTTACTTTATATATAATTAAAATAATTTAATTTTTTTAAAATATATAATTATAATAGTTTATTTCAATAAATATACAAGTTTAAATTTGATTCTAGAGACAATTACCATTAATAAGTCAAATTTAAATTTTTGTTGTTTTATACAACTTACCTTTTGAGTTTGATTATGTATACGAGGCATAAGTCATTCTAATTTTACATTAAAAAGTTATCAGCATACACTTTTTATGTTTTAGTATTCGTTTACTTTTTTTTCTTACCTCTATCTTATTTTCTAACATAAAATTATTTATTAAATATTAAATTTATAAATTTAAAAAATAGTACAATCGCATAATAGGCCAAAACCTAACAAGAGAAATCAACCAAACAGAAGATAACTCCCGTATAAACCAAATTTGGAAATTGGAACTGGGAACGCATTCAGGTGAAACAAATTGATAGACACAGCCCAAAGCCAATGAATTGTGCATAAACATAGGAGACATCGAGCCATTCTATCAAATACCTCGTCATTTCAAAGTAATTTATAAAAATTTGGACGGCCTTAAAATGTGTCATTATCATGTTGTTGACATAGCACACAAATCATATACTAATAATTAGAAAAGAACCGAGTGTGAGAAGCTCTAAACAAACCAAACTGCAAGTCTTCAACTCTAAAATGAGTGCAGAAGTAAATATCTAGCTCTCTTCCTCTCTTCGCGCCATATAGCAATCTGGCTATCTTAAGCCCTGTTTTCCAGGGGAATTGAGAGAGAGATTCTTTGTAAGCCTGACGAGAGTAACTTGCTCGGTACCACTTGATTGCATCTCTATTTTATTCTCTCTTGCTTTGACAGTGTTCTGCAGAAAATTAAAAGACAAACGATCACAAAAGCAAAAGCCAATAAACGAAAACAAAAAAGGGAAAATGTTTTTACAGAGGTATAGGGTGGCTTTAATTTAACAGCCTCACAATATTTCAGTTGTGTGTACTAACGGCAAATCACATATCTTCTATTTTCAATTGCAGAAATAAGTAAGAAGCATTATAGAAAATGGAAATGGAACTTACTTGGTAATGGTTATTGCGATATGCTTCCGGTTCTGGGCTTGGATGCTTAGTACTCCTTTGGGAACGAAACAACTTCTCTCGCTTCTCATAGAAGTCAAAATCATCCAATAGAGATGTCTTTGCCGAATAACTTTTAAAAATATTCAGCATCTCCAGGCCTTCCTTCAGTCCAATCTGCAAGCCAGATTAGTATTTAATTGATAAATCATGTCTCACAAAACTTCAGGTCAATAACTATAATACTATTCATATAACCAACGTAAAGGCCATCATTTTATATAGATATATATCCTAGCGGTAGGCATCTTTGAGTAACCTTGTAATTGCCTATCAAGAAAAGTAGGAATTAATAAAAGAAACAAAAAACTAAAAGATCACACTTCATCCAAAATAAATACATAACTTTCTCCAAAAGTACGAAATTTTCTCACTCAAAAGACACAAAACATTGACTCCATAGGATATGAGCTATGTCATTTACTCAAACTATTTATACATACCACTTTCAACTTTCTTTGTCAGTCGGTAAATATCAACTAGACCCAACTTATATAATTTGGGCCATCTCCAATTCGGCACAATCTTTTCACATGGTCATGCAACAACTATTTTCTTCGGTCTCTATAAAAGCAGGCATAGGTGCACGTTAATGTTGTCAAAGTAAGAATTACCTCTTGTGTGTCCCTAGTGAAAGTTACAGGCTTGTTCTCATTGCTTGGAAGGATGATATGCACAAACTGGGTGTTGGGAACATCTTTTATTATATGCCACTTAATTGGGAAGAACCCGTTGTACTTGTCCAATTTCCAAAATTTCATGTCTTTTTCGAAGTCCACTGGCCCAAACATCTCAGCTACTCCAACAAACTGTCTGCTAGCGTTAACCTGATATGACAACAAAATGCATCCAGGGTATATGAATATTCAGACAATAGCTTATTCTACAAAATATATCCAGCTGATAGTCTGAATGACAAATAAGCCTAAATCAAAGATATCTCTATCATAATTTGAAATAGAACAAATGTTTTTGGCATTTTAATCAGGCAATTCAAGAAAACATTTTATTTTTGGCTATAATTGGATATAAATATAAAAGGAAAACATGAATCAATGTTCATCTTCATCTACTGAGCTTTTGAAGATAATTTAACCTCAAGAAAGAGGAGAAAATATAACAATATGTCAATATCTAAAAATTCAATATAAAAATAGGCTTTTCTTTCATGTAACACTACTTCTTAAGAGAGAGAGACAGACAGATAAAGTTGCAATTTGCAAACAACTATTTGAACTCACCGAGAAGAAGAGGAAGACTGGACACTTCACACCTGTCTTTCTCAATTTAGCTTCTGCATCAAGGAATGCTGCATTCAGCTTCTTATTTCCAATTGGAGTACTTGTCCAGACATTATATTTAACACCTTTATGAATGTCATCTTCATTGAAAGATTTAATCACATAAAATTTTGCCATTTCATATTCAGTTTGAAAATCTGAAAGGTTATATTGATCTCTACATATTGTGTTGGCAAACTCATCCTTAACAGCTGACGATGGTAGAAGGAAATTGTTGTAATGACCCCGAGGACCTCGAGTCATTTCCATTGACATTTCAGATTCTCCCCTCCGGAAGTTTGTAGTAGTATCATTTACACTAGATACTCTCCCATCTGGTCTGTAGTTAGTAGAGGTATTTGGCCTGAAGTTAGTAGGGGGCAAAACATGACTTCTTGGGTTGGCTATTGATGAAAATTTTCCCGCTTGGTGATACGTCCTTGAAGGAGTGGCTACTGTAAAATTAGAAGGCAAATGAGGAGCCTGAAAATAAAAAAGTCACATGATCAAAACATCATAGTTCTAAAGCAGATAGTGAAAATATAAAATACTTAAAACAAAATCAAGTTTATGGAATTTTTTTACCCATTTCTTATTTGGATAAGTATATTAAATAAAAGTAAACCACAGATACTAGATATTAATGAAACGGACAAAAATACCTTTCTAAATATTCATCATCAATGCAACAACTCTCCCATCCCTCAAAATGAATAAATAAACACAAAGCAGTGATACCTACTGATGTCATAAAAATTCTGAAACATAATAATCTTCAAATTGATTACCTTGTTTAGAATTTTCATATCTTTTCTCACATCAGCCATATTCTTGGATAATGTGCTGGTTAAACTGCCATCTCTATATGTAGACTTTAAGCTATTTGGCTTCATTAAACCATGAGATTTTGGATAATATTTAGGTACAGAACCCTTCACAGATTTGTTTTGGATACCAGCAGAAGTTGAGACTGATGAATGATAGGATAGAGCTTCAGATTCATGCACACCTGGTTGTTGAAAATAGCCAATCTTAGAAAGGTAAGATTTCTGACCAATGCAATGCCCATCAAGACCCACAATAGTCCCAGATAAACTAAGGTTATATAGCCAGGAAGAAAATAAAATAAAAAAAAAGGCAAACCTTCGATAGCATGACACAATGCTCAAAGCTTGAAAGCTATATCATAAATATCTGCTATCCAAGATACTCAAAGGTTTGAATGTGTCAATTATAAATCATTACAGTATTACACTCTTGGCAAGAAACCCTTTGCTTATGTCAAGCATAATAATGCCTCCATCTAAGTTTCAGATTTTGTGTAACTGCCACATATTATAACTTCACTGATTTTTCAAAATAATAAGTTTGAACCAAATATGCAAATATCTCCAATTTAGTTCAAGGGGGCAAATAATCAAATTCATATGCTTTTGTATTGGTTAAAATCAACTGTTAAAAAATTCAAGATAATACTTTAATAAGCCTTGGGGAAGTGAAATTTATTTTCAGATGTGATCATAAATGCAGTTAAGTTTCAGGAGTATTGAGCCTAGTTATAATTTTAGAGAAACTTAAATGAAAAATACATCAATATGATTATCAACATTTTACGTGGACCAAGAACTATTTAATCATCTTTCATGAGGAAGAATAACAATTAGGTGTATGATGAATACAATCTCTTCAACTGACTCTTGATCTGCCTCACCTGTGAAGCCAGTAGCAACATCTCCAGAAGAGGTTGCTGATGATGTCAAGTCAGAAGAGATACAATCTTTTATAGAAACCTGCAGAAATATTATAAAAAGATTCGAGTGAATATGATGACATCATGACACAAATAAAAGTAATGATGAGGGAGAAAAAATGAGAAGACATAAGATGAATTTGCATGTTGAAATACACAACAGAGCTATCTATTTATAATAATACTCAATGATTACATAATATTATGTTATCTAAAATCACACTATCTATGCTTTCATTATCTATATAGTTATCTTATTTACATAGTTATCTTATTCACATTATTCTCAACACTCCTCCTCAAGTTAGAACATATAAATCATATGCACCAAGTTTGTTATATACAGAACTAATATGAGGCCCCCTTAAGAATTTAGAAAAGATATCTGTCAATTGATCATTAGAGTTGACAAATCAAGTAACATTATTTCCGTTAAGATCTTTTCTCTGATGAACTAATGAAGTGACAATTTATCTCAATAAGTTTGGTCCTCTTAAGAAAAACTGGGTTTGAGGCAATATGTAAGGCAGCCTGTTCATCCATGTGTCATCTCCAAACTTCAATGATTTCAGTAGCTGTTTGAGCCATATGAACTCACAAGTTGGCAAAAGCCATGACTTGATATTACGTCTCTACACTTGATTACATAACCACACTTTGTTTTTACTTTTTCACAAGATTCAGTTGTCACTAATAAAAATACAGTACCTAATAGTTGATCTTCTAGCTACAGGAGAGTATGCCCAATCTACATCTAAGTATCTCACAATTCGACTGTGTCCCTTATCTTTATAAGGCCTTTACCTAGAGCTCCTTTAACATATTTCATGATTCGAATAATTGCATCTTAATGTTCCTTACAAAGAGAATTGATAAATTAACTCACTACACTTAGAGCAAAGGAGATATCAAGAGTGAGATAAATTAATTTCTCAACAAGTCTTCTATATTTTTCTCGATCCCATATGAGGCCATGAAACTATACAAGGAAGTAGACAAATATTCTTTGACATTACCTCTTTGTAAAATATAAATAGAAATACCAAATTGAGTTTTCATTTTATTATAAAAAGATTGAAAGATAAAAATACAAATCAAAATGGTCTTTCATTAAATAAAACTAAATAAAACTAAGTACATTTAAAAAAATCAACAATAAAGGTAACAAAGTATTTTTATCCTAAACTAAAAACTACATAACTAGGACTCCACACATCTTAATGAATAAAAAAAGGCCGACAAAGCCTAATTTTTAACACGACTAGGAAAATAACTACAAACATGTTTACCTAATTGACATAACTTACGATTTAAAGAAGACAATTTAGAGACTTAGCACTAGTAGCTGCAAGTTGTCAAGATTGGGATGGCCCAGTTGAGCATAAATCATTAACGGAGTGTCCACCGTTGAACTAGTCTGAGAGAATTGTAAGCCGGTACATATCTTGGAACTCACATCCAAAGCAAATCATCCTCCCCAAACTCTGGTCCTGCAAGGTAATAGAATCTTTGATAAACGAAACAACGCAATTAAGAAAACAAGATGATGAACAAAGAGTAGATTGATGGAAGACTCACCTAGGAACATAAAAGACATCATCAATGAAAACAAATGGAAGAATGGATATAGTGCCAATATCTCTAGGTTGTGTTTGAGAACCATTAGTCATAGTGACAAGGGGGTAAAGAATAAAAAAAAAAGAGTAAAGAAAAGAGATTTATTACCAGAATGTGATCAATGATCCCAAAATTAAAAGCCCTAGGATTGGGAAGGAGTGGGAGATGTTAGCAAAGGAATTATTAGTTTGCGCAACTAACATGGTGGAATTAGAAGACCAATGAATTTCACACCACTTTAGAAAATTACTATGTGAGACAAACAATGCCTAAGGAGTAGGTAGTAGTTCAGCAAAATCAGAAGGAACTTGTGAAGAAGAGTGGACAACATTGGCCGCAAAGGGAGTGAACATGAAGGGCATAGCAACAATCAATGGTATGTTCAAACTACAGTGGTCACACTTACGGCAAGATTTTTCAGGTTTGCAAGAGCAAGTACATCACCATGATGGGACAATCAGTGGTATGATCAAACTTATCACAATGGTTACACTTAGGGTAAGATTTTTCAAGTCTGTGAGAGTAAATACGACCACCCTAATGAGACACCAAAGTAGATGAGTCCACAAGAGGAGAAGGAACGACCTTGATAGTGTCTAGTTTTGTTAACAAGTAAATGTTCATTAAAATCATAAAGAAGACTAGAGATTTGACACAGATAGGTAGCCACAAAATCTCCAAGAGCGCGAAACAAGAACAGTCATAAAGTCGTGACATATCTCATAAAGCCATTGAGTGGTATTAGTGTAAAGAGACCTAGTCTGAGTTCATGTAGCTTCACATGACTCATGAGCGTAGAAAATAACACAGGAGGATGAAGAGTAGTCTTAATAATGCAACAAAGTCAGGTGTCAATCTTCTTCCAATAAGGGTGATTAGCCTTAGCAGTAGTTTTAGCATCCATAACAAATGATCCTCGTAATATTGCCTAACAAGGCAAAAATGAATATTTGAAACCAAGCAATATAATTTCTACCATTTAATTGCTCAATGGAGAGAGGAGCAATGACAAGGTTGGTAAAGATGGTTGGTTCATCCTTGAGAAGGTTAGTAGCAGCCATGGGTAGTGTAGAGGAGAAATAAAAAACGTGAACAGCATCAAGAACACTAAACAAGAAGAAAAATAACAACAAAAGAGCTAACAAACCATAGATCCGAGAAGAGTCCATCCCAATGATCTTGTCAATGTCAACAACGATTGAATGCACTGCCACACATTGCAGCAGTGATGGAAGAATAAAGAGACCATGCCTGCTTGAGGAGGCATATGTACGCACATGAAAGCTATGATGAAGGTGGGACCAGTGCCGTTAGGTGGCCCAAATGACAACAAACCAATCAAATGGTCAAAGAGCAGAAAGGTCATTAGAAAACGGTTGCCACCGGAAGGAACAATACTTGACAAGGAGAAAAACAACAAAAAACTGACCAAAAATCATGAACTTGTTTCTGGAAAAAAATAAGTTACAACAATTGGCAGTGGGTCCACCAGGAATGCACGGATTAGGAATACCTTCTTGTCAAACTCTAGATACGGTGTTGAGAGAAAAAAATAAGACATGGAATGAATTCATGTCTTAGAATACACAACAGAATTATCTTCCTATAATAACGCTTAATGATTACATAATAATACATGATATTTTGTGATCCAAAATCACATTATCTATAATTACATTATCTACATAGTTACCTTATGTACATAGTTACTTTATTTACATTATTCTCAACTCTACACATATCAAAAGATATCAAGAGAGTGTTTCTAGAAAAACTTGCTTGTCTTTGCAATGGAGGAGTTACACAAGATGTTACATCAATTTACAAATAAATTTACACAAATTAAAATTAGCTCCTAATGTCTATATATGGTAATAAAATAATTTACATAGATTTACAAAGCCTATATTATAATATTAATAACCTCCCTCAAATTGATGCTAGTAAGTCAACTAGCAACAGTTTGCCAACAAAAAACTGATGTCACTGTCTCGTCATTGTTTTGGTGAAAATATTAGCTACTTGGTGACCATTGGAGATGTAAGGAGCAAAGATAGTTTGATTGGATGAGACCTCTCTGATACAATGGCACTTGTATTATCATTTATCAACATACAAAGGGGTAGAATCAGATTGTGAAAAGTCAAGTTCCTCTAAAAGAGGTTTGTAGCCAAACAATTACAGAACAAGCAAATGACATTGTATGGTATTTATCCTCAGTAGATGATTTAGATACACAATCTTATCCAAAAAATCAAAGCATCACCTAAGAACATACATTAACCTTTAGTAGACCTGCAACTATTAGAACAACCAGCTCAAAAAACATCATTTGTAAACCATGAGGTGTAAAGGTGTACTAGACGGAAAAAATAACCCACGCATAAGTGACTTTAGAAGGTAGCAAATAATATGACAAACAGTAGCAAAATGAAGTTACTGAAGAGTGGACATAAATTGGCTAACTTGATGAACAATGTACAAGATGTCAAAGTGAGTCATTGTTAGGTATGCAAGGCTTCCAACCAAACAACAATAAAGAGTAGGGTCAGGGTGGTACAAATCTCCTTCAATTTTGCTATGTTTGACATTTACTTCCATAAGATTATCCTCTGAAGTATCACCGTTTAGAATTGCTAAAGTTATAAGATCTTGGATGTACTTATGTTGACTCACAAAGATGTCATTGGGCTGATGATGTGCTTCTAACCTCCATAAAATATGTGAGATGATTCAAATCCTTCATGTGAAAAGTGGAATTAAGGTTTTCTTGAAACTTAGATATCAAGCCACTATCCAAGCTAGTAATGACAATATCATCCATATAAATTAGGATGAGAAGTATCCATGTAAAAGACTTATGAAAGAAAAAAGAATAATTATATTGACTTAGTGAATAAGAGAAGTTAAAAAGCATACTACAAAACTTCTCAAACCAAGCTTGAGGCGTTTGTTTAAATCCATATAAAGACCATCTTAATCTACAAACATCCTGAGAAAAAGAGCTAGGCAAACCAAAAGGAATTTCACATAGATTTCATCTTTGAGATCACCGTGGAAGAAGACATTTTTCACACACATTTGATAAAGTAGCCAAGATTGAGAAGTAGCAATCACAAGGATAGTTTTGATTGACTATAGTTAATTTGGCCACAAGAACAAATATATTCTTATAATCAATATCATGTTCTTGCTTATTACCAAGAGCCACAAGATAAGTTTTATAACGATCCAAAGAACCATAAGAATGTAGCTTGACAGAGAAAACCCATTTACTTCTAATGAGTGTCGTATTAGATGGAAAAGAAATAATGTCCTAAGTGTGATTCTCCCGAAGTGCCTCAAGCTCTACTTGGACTGCATGTTTCCAACATTCTTATTCTATTGCTTGTTTATGACTAGAAGGAACAAAAATAAATGTCAAAGTAGCTAAGAAGGATACATCATACAAGTGAGAAAAAATCATAGCAATTTGGAGGTCGAGATGGTCAAGTGCATCGACAAACAAGAGGTAGAATAGGATCTTGTGTTAGGTCATAATCTTGAAGAAAACCTAACATGTTACAGCGTCTTTCATACATGACTCTAGGTTTGAAACATTTCACCATGGTTGAATTATTGGAGAAGTGAGGCATAAACAAAAATGAAGGAGATTGTGGTTCAACATATAATTGAAAAAAAATATATTGATCCAAAAACAAAATAACATTCCTATAGACTCTCGTGCCATAAGCATGTGAATCATAACAAATATAATATTTTTGTAAATTAGAGTAACCTAGAAAAGCATATTTAATAGATTTAAGCAACAAATTTATCAGACTCGTGAATAAGGTGTACAAAACAAACACAACCAAATGTATGAAGACTAGGAGTGTATTCATACAACTTATAAAATGGAGAAATGTGTAAAATAGAATATGATGGTTTATCAAATGAATAGTAATAAAAAGAGCTTCGCACAAAAAATGAGGAAGAACAAAAGAACTCAAGAAGAGTTCTTACCACATCAAGAAGGTGACAATTCTTTCTCTCAACGTCACCATTTTGTTGTAGTGTTGAAGGACAAGAGCACCGAAAGATTATCTCTTTATTCTATAGGAAGGCTAAAATTCATTTTCTAGACATATATTCTCCACTTAAATCAGATCTCAATGAGAGCTAAAGAACATTTAAAAATAGAAAAAACTTTTGACTTGGACCAAAGAAAACCCATGAATGTAAAGTGACTATAGTCATCTATAAAAACAACAAAATACTTTGTAATATGTATGAGAAATAATAGGTGCAATACTCCAAGCATTATTATGGATCACATCAAAACATTTAGTTGCATGGGATGTAGTGGTAGGAAAAGGCCGAACTTTACTTTTGTCAAGTTTGCATGTGATACAATCAAAGGAAACACCAAGAAAGTGAGAATTTGCATTGCCTAATCAACCAGTTTTTAACTAAGTACTGAGCACTTGAGAATTTGTGTGGCCTAGGGGCTTATGCCACTCTTGATTTCCAATTTTAACATTAGTACAAACTAGGGAAAGTAAAGAAATTGAGGGCAAATTGGATAAGGAGAAAGTTGTACAAGAAAGAGTCACCTCACTTTATGCCTCTTCACAATTATTTTTCCAGACACTGGATCTTGCACAATACAATCAAAAGAAGAAAATTTCACATTACAATCATGATCTACTAATTGCCCAACACAAATTAGATTTGTACGTATGCCAGGAGACACAAAAACATTAGTCATGGACGGAGAAATCTCACCAATAATACTTATAGGCACAGAATTGCCATCAACAGGATGAGTTTTCTAGTTTTCATCACATTTTCACACATTGGACAGAGGGACAATTGTATTTGGCATATGATTAGAGGCTCCAAAAGCCAAAACAAAAAAAGAGAGTATCATATGTTGTACCATTTCAAGAGTGAGTATGTTTGGGTTTGAAGGTGTGAAAGTGAGTGGTGCAGGAGTGGATGAAGTAACCGGTGTAGTAATAGAACCTGAGGCACCAACCGAGGCATGATATGCAGTCCCTTGCCTCTTTTCAGGTCGAGTAGGACATGCGTGAAATAATTCAGAAACTTTACAAGGGAGGAGTTACAGGAGATATTACATCAATTTACAGCAGATTTACACGAATTAGAATTGGCTCCTAATGTCTATTTATGGTAATAAAATAATACTGCAATAAATAGGTATAATTTACATAGATTTACACAGCCAGTATTACAATATTAACATCAACACGTAATAATAAAAATACAAGAACAAATTTTACCCATTAGTCCCACTCTACAGTGAGCAATCTTATACTTGCAAACAGAAGAAGAGCTATCACGCCTAAATAATGTGTATTGCAGACTGAACAACACTATCACATTTGAATAGCAAAGATTCACACTTCTTGTTTACTAAGGAGATGAAGGAGGCAGATATAAATCTTATAAAGAATAACAGAAAGAGACACACATTCACAGAGAGAATTATGAAAGTGGACATACATCTTCGTCATTCTGCTGCTGACTATGATCTGTAGTTCCTGTTGGCACAGACTGACCTATATCACATGGTTAAGTATACCATAAATAAAACAATTATCTGAAACCTGACTAATAAGAGAGAAACCAAACAAAATCACCCTGACTCAATGAGACCTAACGTCAAACAAATCACGTCCTAGGACTTGTTTCACATTGTTACGATCAAGCAACCATTTCAGATGTACGAAAGTATCACCTGTCTACTTTAACTCCTAAAAAGAGGGGGAAAAACAAAAACGATGCACAATGAATAGGGGTCATTATTTATGTTATTTGTAGAGATAAATAGTTATTTTTATCTGTTGTAATTTAGGAGCTTCTCCTTAATTATAGGCGGCTATTTATTTATTTTGGAATTAACACTTTTTATGGTATGAACAGGGTTTTGACTATGTGATGTGACTATTATCTCTTTCATTTTATCATCAATATTGAGAGTTTAGAGTCTATGGTTGTTCATCAAAAAAAGAAGTGATGAATTATACGACAGCTTGACACCATTCACTGTCGTTTTGCAATGAAACACAATTCCCTGACTGTAAGGAATTCAAGTTGGAAGTCATGGTGTGTAATATAAATGCAAGTTAAACATAATGTTCCAAAATATGGGCATTGAAGCATTTTGAAAAAGTGTGATACAGATAATGGCAGAATAATGATTTTGGAGCAATAAAAAAAAAAGTGCATAGGTGAATTAACAAAATAAAGGATACTCTTCTGAAACTCCTTGTGACGGCTCATGAGTGTTTAAAAGCAGGCTCAGCCTGAAAAAGAGAAACACGGCACGGATATATTATCTTATCTGCAAAAATAAAACGCAGACACACACTTGGTATGAATGAAAAAGTGATGGATTTGTATGGTGATATGTGTTATTTGAGAGGCGAAGGGATTACTGAAAAGTGTTGCAGAATGGAATGTGTTGGCGGAGAGAAGAAGCAAACCTAGAAAAAAAGCGGCTACGGCAACTATTGAATAGCAGAGAATTGAGAGACGAGCCAACAGGGTTTGTTACACTTTACTTGGCCTTCTCGGCTCTACCGTATTTGTATTTCGCTGGTATCCTTATCACTCGTTCCTTTTCCGTACATTCTATGGATTTGTTAATTTTTTATTAAATTATTTTGTTTAAATATATTAAAATTTAAATATAAAATATATATTTAAAAACTCATAATTATTATTCATTAAATAATAATAAATTTTATTATATTAAATATAATCGCATTGAAAACAATTATGAAATATTTTATCACACACAATATTTTCTTTCTACTTCACATATTATGTCCAATAACCCAATCAATTCTTATTAATTTTTTATTTATTTTATGAATTTTATAAAATATAAATAATTATAATTTCAATTTATTTATAAAATTATGTTGATAAACATATTAAATATTTATAATTTTTACTTAATTTTACATGAATATATCAATATAGATAGATTATTTGTTGAAATTTATTTTGTTAAAATATAAAAATTATAAATAAAAAAATAAAAAACTAAAATTATTAATTTATTAAATAATTTATATATAATATAATATTAAATAATTTAATTTATCATGTAAGTAATATATTTTAATTTTATATTAATGCTATAAGGTAATTTTCTTACATATATTTTTTTATTGAAAATAATTTTATTAAAAAATTAAAAATATAAATATATATTTAAATTTAAAATAATTAATATAAACTTCCATATATCATTTTTTAAAAATAATTTTAAAAAAATTAAAAAATACATAATTGTAAAAATATATTAAGAATTTATATTTAAAATATAATAATTGATAAATATTTATATAAATTAAAAAATTAAATTTAAAATTTAAATTTAAAAATTAAATTATTATTTTAAGTATAAATTTATATATAATACATAATTAATCATTTTAATATATTGTAAAATTAATATATTTTTTATTTTATATTAATATTATAGTGTAATTATTTCTACATATATACATATATAGTTTTAATCAATTTTTATTTTTTTAGTTTTAATTAATTTTTATTATTATTATTTTAGATAATTTTTATGCATATAAGCAACAAATTTAATATAAATAATTATTTAAATTTATCAATTTAATTATATGTGATATATAATTAAATATGTAATTTATCATGTAGTTAATATATTTTTAATATTATATTTATGTTGTAGTGTAGTCAAAATTTAATTTTATCCATTATATGTCAAAATTAAATATTTATAAAATAATTTAATAAGAAATATAAAAAAAAAACTTATGCAATGCATAAATATAATTACTAGTAAATTTGTTTGTATATTGTACAGATTTGTTTATAATTTTTAAAATTACTTTATTTGAAATATATTAGAAAAAATTATATTTTAAATATAAAAATATATTTTAAAACATAAAACAAAATTTAAAGCAAAGATGTTTTTATTCTTTGATATGAATTTTTTATAAGAGTGTATAGTTTTTCTTGTTTTTTTTAAGTAAAATTTGAACCTATAAATATTTTTTTTTCTAAAAAAGTATGTATGTAATAAAAAAATTATATTAATTCAGAAAAATAAAAATCATTTAAAAGTGAGTTAGTATATATAAACATATAAATGACAAAATAAATACAATTTATTAAAAAATATATAAAAGTTAATACATTTCATCCATTAATATCACATTAGTATTAATTAATTATTTTTTATGTATATTTAAAATGTCCTATATTTACAGTTTTATTTTCAATTAAAACTAAGATTGTTAGAAAAAAATTTGTTAATTTTATTGAAAATACTTTTCTGCTAAAAAGAAAATAAAATAATTAAAATAAATAGATTATTATAAGTTATCAAGGTAAAAAACATATTTAGATCTAATTGTTTTAGATATTGTAATTAATAATATATAAAATAATAATTTTATAAATACTTGTGTTAATTGTTACACATGATATTTTTTCTTCTAATATATGTAGCTTTTTAATTCACGTTTTATTAAGTAAGTATTAAATTAATTCATAATTTTTAAGATAAAAAATTGAGGTAATTAATGCGTTATTTCTGTTTTTACCATTTTATTTTTATCTTTTTCACTTTTATACACAATAGATTTAAAAAATTGTTTAATAAATATAATTTATAACCAATAATTTATTTTTATTTTTACTATAACCAAAAATATAACATTTTTATATACAGCCAATTTTTTTAATTCATTTTGTTTAAATACAATTTACAATTTTTTTTAAAATATTCTATGAGCATCAAATAGTGCAATAATTAAATTTAATCGATTCTCATTACTTTTTTTAAGTCATTCTTATAAATTATAAAAAATATTAATTAATCATAAAGTTATTTCAATAATATATATATAATTAAATTATAATTTTTAGTAATTTCATATAAATATATCAATATAGATCTATATAAAAATATATTTAAAATATAATAATTGATAAATATTTACATAAATTAATAAATTAAATTATTATTTTAGTATTTTAATTTATCATGTACTAAATAAAATTAGCATTTATATTTTATATGATATATAATCAGGTATTTTAATTTACCAGGTACTTAATATAATTTTTATATTATATTAATGATATAGGATAGTTAATTATATACATATATATAGTTAGTTAATTTTCATTAATTTTTTTAAAAATATTTTTTAATATGAGTAGTTATAAATTTTAATATTAATAATTCTTTAAATTTATTGTCACTTTGCATGGATTCTGAATTTTGAAACATGAATCTCTGTCCACCGCTAATTTTAACACATGCTTTGTATGAACAATAATTTTCAATTGCCATCAAACTACGTTAGAATTTGTATACAAATTGATTCTAAAATATATTAACATGATAATAAAACTAATTAACGAACAATAATTATAGATAACAATTAATCTATGATAACGTGCTATAATTACTATAAATAAAACGAAAATAGTTACTAGTTATCTACCATTTTAAATATGTTAATTTTCACACAAAAAAAAATAAAATTAACGTGTCTTTTTTTTTTTTGCTATATTTTAACGTGTCTTTTTTTTTTTTTTTAACTTCTCATCTGATTTAATTTGGATCTAATCCTACTCGCATACTTGGATATAGTAGGTAAATCTATTACTAGAGATTTTTTGTATACACAATAACTTAAATATGAAACATTGCTTAAATAATACAAAGTTGCTTACCAAAATTTTAACGGTCCTTTAATCATGTATCAAGATTTTAAAATAATACTGTATTTATTATTCATATGATTTACAAGTTAAGACATATATGTTAAATGAATTATTATATAAAAGACTACTAAATTTTTATTTAATTTGATTATTTTATTAAAAAAAGATATTTTACTTTTAATTTTTTTAATTGTTTACCACTTAAATAAATATTACTAACTAAAATTTACTATCAATAAAATATAAACTACAATACACGATGTTACAATAACTTACATTAATTTAAAAAATTAAATTTATAATAAAAAATAATAATTACTTAATTTTGAATATGTACTAATTCTAAAATATGTTTATGCAAATCTATGGTTACATGAATTATGATGATTAAATTTCTAAAGCACAGTATTTTTTTAATAAATTTAAACTAACTACTTTACGTTTTATGTTTTTATAAAATTTAACTTTTTTACTTTTTTTTATCTCCTTCTTTACAACATTTTTAATATTGTAACATGCATCGGTCAAAGTTACATGTATAATTTAAACAGCTTATCATATAAATGATTTAAATCAATAAATAACTCAAATTTTTATGAATAATTCAGGCTTAAATAAAAAATTAGCCTTTAAACTATGATTTTGGTACTTAGACTTATATTGTCATTTATTTCGGTGTTGGACTATAAAAAAAAATTGTTTTAATAAATTAAAAACAACATACTGATCACTTATAGAAAATAAAGATAAATCCCGTAACAAGTGAAAATTATAGATAGTGAAATTAAAAAAATTGTATACGAAGCCAACATTTTCATAATAAAAAACTAAACTTAATAAGTTTTTTTTTAAATATTAATATTTTATTCAAGATAAATTTAGAATATAAGGGGTAGTTTAACTAGTTACAACTTTAAAGAGAATTAACAATATATATTAATGAATCATTAATTCAATTAATATATATAATTGATCTTTTTAAAAGTCCTACTGCAGGCCACTTCCAAGAACATACTTAATAGAATCAAACATTTTATTAATATTTAACACATTGCTATTAAAAAAAATATTATTTTACTAAAGCTAAATTTTTTATACTACCACAAATCATACCATTACAATTTCCTTCCATCTTTTTTTTTATGTTGGATTCTATACATGCTTAATAACATCTCGTGCAAATTTTTAGGTAACTATCAACTGACACTAAACTATTTAAATATCATGTACCACAGTTTCATAGAGACACCACAATGCAAGAAAAAAATGTAATATGTCATTATCTTCAGTATCACACAACTCACAAACTTCAGAGGGAATCGTCAATCCATGTTTGAGCTAATTCTTCTACACTAGGACTGCATTAAGCAATAGATACCAAATAAATACCATTACTTTTTTTGACACACTAACCTTCTAAATCATGCGTAAAGCTTGCACTAGACCTAACTCCAAATCAAACTTAATAAGTTAAAAATGAAGATTGACATCCACCTTAATTCTATGACTCATATTTTCAACTTTAACTTAAAAATATTTAAGATACAAAATAATTAATTAAACACAAATATAAAGATGTTCATCTTCCACTTATATACTTTGTTGCATGACATAAAACCCATTTTTTCACCTTTTTTTAAATAAAAATATTTTTATTTTTAACAAAAACCACATTTAAAAAATTAAAATAGAAAAATAGATCTCTAATTATTTTAAAAAGTTCTTTTGAATAATTTTTAAAAAATTAAAATGTATAAATATTGTTTAAAACTAAAAATAATTTATAATTGTAAATAAATAAAATATCTTTTACACTTTAAAAAGTCTATAAAATATAAATCAAATTTTAAAAATAATTTTTTAAAAGAAAAATATTAACCTAATCTCTTAAGACCCAAGAATTAAACATGATAATCTTTTACTAAAAATAAATTATTTTTATCTTAAAATATAAAATTATAATAAATATTATATTTCTAATGAAAAACATATTTTTATAATATTTAATTTCAATCTTAATTTCAAAGACTAATTTAATAAAATATTTTTTAAAAAAATCCACTGATCTACATAACATATGCAAAATTAATTCTATTTATGGAGTCTATTTAGTATGTTTGGTTCAGCGTAAATTCTTCCAAACATACATTTATTGGCCAGAAGCTATTCAAAAACAGTGTAAAAATTACGCGCATTTGACTTTTGGCAACGTAAATCCAAACACATGATTAATTTTTTGTCCTCGCAAACAAAAGCTAGCCAAAGCAATATTTTTGAGTAAAAATAACTATAAAAGGTGTTTTTATTTTTATTTTTGCTTAAGAGGGAGTCTATTTATATTTTACCATTCTATAATTTAACATTTTATCAATTACGCACCTAAACTTTCATGGGTACTAGAATTTTTAGAAGTTTAAGTTAAATTAAACAAATTTTTAAGTTCTATTAACTTTACTTAATTCAATTACTATTTTTAAATTTATTAAATATGACCAAAATGATACCGTATATAGTATTTTTCAAATCACTTAAACTTAAATCTAAGGAAATGTTGATGAACAAACTATTAAAAATTAAGTTGAGTAAATATTAGATTAATATAATTTATCCAAAATTTAATTTTTATATAACTTGTCGAATTTGATTTAACAGTAATTAAGATCTCCATTGAAAGAAGATTGTCTCACAAAAAATTGCCGACAGACATACAAAAAAAGACCCCTTTATTTGTTTTTATTTGTCTACTTTTAAAATATTTGTATGACTTTTGTCATATTTTTTACTTGCCTTTCTAATAAATTTGTAACTATCTTAAAAAGAATTATAAGAATAAAAAGAGAATTTAAATATTTTATTTATAATTTTTAATGCATATTTAAATAATACATAATAATAAATTATATATAGTAAGTTTTTATTAAAATTTATAAATTATTATAAATTTTAATTTATTGATAATATTAATTAAAAATCATTATTTATTAATTTACTACGTGTCTTTAGACATATAATTAAAAAAGTGATCTTATTTATCTATTTAAAAAATGTAAGACAATATTAATTATTATCTCTAATTAAGTTCTGATTCTTAAATACTTACACTTTTGTCATTAATGAGAGAAGTATTAATAATGGAGGTTATATAAAGAAGTTAATAATAATAACCTTGATATTAACGAAGAATACTGAATTTATTTTTCAATCCTAAGTGAACAAATTAAAAAATGACAAGAGTAATTAAGATGTTTAATCAATTTAGTATGATTTTAAATATGAAAAGAAGAATATGAATTTTAAATATAAATATAGGCTGATTTTATTAATTGATTATATTTTTGTATTTTTTATGTCATATTTTTATAATCAATTTATTATTTGAATTTTTTAAAATTAAATTCGAAGATCGATGTTGGTATTTTTAAAAAAATAATATATATTACTTTCAAACGATACATCATTGAAACAAAATTGATATGTTGGTAAACATTTTTCTTAAAAAAAAAATCGTAAAAATGTTAGTATATGAAATATTTGAACCCTTGTTAGATGAAAAAACGTAGGTAAGGAATAAAAAAGAAAATAAGTAAACATATATTGGGAAAATTTGAGACTGACATTGATGTAACGAGGATTGATTGAAGTTCATATAATCATCTTCACGCAATAATGGAGAATAAAGAGGATGAAAAGGTTTAAACTGAAAAAACCTGACATATGAAGAAGGGTTGATTGGTATCCACGTCAACATGAGAAAAAAAGTTAGAAACAGTGTCTGCGCTTTCTCTCTCTAACTGAAGAAGGAGAGAGAGAGAGAGAGAGAGAGAGAGAGGCCACCTTCACCCCACCCATGAGTTAATGATCCATCACTCGGAGTAGTCAGCATCACAGCCCCACAAAACGAATACCAATAAATAACTTATCTTTCTGTCTCAGCTCAACCGCGTCTGTGAACTCTCAAGTTCTAACTAACTAAGAATGCAAAAGGGCAATGACGAATCTTCGAATCTGAGTCTGAGGAAGCCACCGTTGAAGAGGACCAAAACACTTCCTAATTCAAAACCCTTCAATCTCAGAGTATCCGTTGACAACGCCTCTGCTTCACCTCCAACCAATGCCCATCATTTCTCTGACTCAGATGAACAATGGAACTACCCTTCTTTCCTTGGCACCACCACCCGCAAAAGAAGACCATCCGTCAAACCTTCCAACACCCACAACCTTAACCTTCCCAAGCCCACGCTTGTTCCACCACCACCACCACCACCACCTCCTCCTCCTTCTTCCACTCTCTCTTTGCTACCCCCTTCCCTCCTCCCCAGACCACAACACCATAAGCGCTCTCCGATCTTGTATCTGGTTAGTTAGTTTGTTATCTCAAAGTTTCACTTTTTCATTTACTTTTGCCATTATATTCCCTCAGGAAATCTGGTTATTCTATATTCTAAAAAAGGTATTAACAATTGTGAAGGACATATTTCCTATTGGGGTTTCTTTCTAGACTACGTTTGCTTACTGTTTTGCCATGTCATAGACAAGTAAGATCCCCTGTAGAACCCTGGTTATTCTTCTATAGAAGTGAACAACTGGTGCTTAAAAGACTCTGAACATCTGATAACAATCACTATGCATTTATCAGTTGAAAGGTGAAAAGGTTTTCCCACGTAGCCATTTTGGATAAAGGATGGGTTTAGATATACAACTTAATTAAAAGCTTATTCAATAACTCTTTTTACATAATATCTTCTGCCATGAGTTTAACTATTATGGCATGTATGACAGATGAAGTTGTAGAGCTTTTACTATTCTTTTGTTGCATCTTCTACGAGATTGTTTTTGTGACTGCTTCATTCTGAATCATTTGAACCTTTCCTTGCAGCTAATTATCACTTGTATTATTTTTGTACCTCATTCCGCTTTTCTACAATATAGGCTTGCAAAACTGGAGGTAAGCTTGCGATTCAAGATATTTAATCTGATAATTGACTTTCTGTTTATGTTGGATAGATTCTATATCAGTTTCTTTGCTTGCAGGATGAGAAACTTCACCTGTGCTGTGAAATTGATTTTTGTCCCAGCAATGGAAGGGCATATTTTGAAAAAGAGGGCTCATTTTCCGATATCCTGAATGCTGACAGTAGATCAGTTGCTTTGTATATTGTGGTGGTCACACTAATTTTGCCTTTTGTGTTGTACAAATATCTTGACTACCTTCCTCAAATAATTAATTTCTTGAGGAGAACAAACAATAACAAGGAGGATGTACCATTAAAGAAGAGAATTGCTTATATGGTAGATGTGTTTTTCTCCATATATCCTTATGCAAAGCTGCTTGCCCTTCTCTTTGCAACTCTATTTCTTATAGGATTTGGTGGTTTAGCATTGTATGCGGTGACTGGTGGTAGCTTTGCTGAAGCACTTTGGCATTCTTGGACTTATGTAGCTGACTCGGGAAATCATGCTGAAACAGAAGGAACTGGGCAGAGGATTGTTTCTGTCTCAATTAGTTCAGGTGGTATGCTGATATTTGCTATGATGCTTGGGCTTGTTTCAGATGCTATATCAGAGAAGGTAGATTCACTCAGAAAAGGGAAGAGTGAAGTGATTGAAAAAAACCACATACTCATTCTTGGGTGGAGTGACAAATTGGTAATCTCCTCAATGGTTTTCCATGAACTGTTTTGGGTTTTTGATACTTGAATAGGAATGTGATGTTGAGTGTCATGTTAGGGAATATGTTTTATCTGATAGTTCTTTTTTTTTTTTCAGCTTGATATGGATCATCTAGCGGAATTTGGCTTCCTTTCATATATAGACATGCATGATGAAACTTTTTCTCTGTCAGAGTTCTGTGTATCTGAATGCATTAGTCATTTTTCTTCATAATAAGGAAAATAGAGGTTGATAAGTGCTGTTTGATTGCAGGGTTCACTTTTGAAGCAGCTAGCAATAGCAAATAAGAGTGTTGGTGGTGGTGTTATTGTGGTGCTTGCAGAAAAAGAAAAGGAGGAAATGGAAATGGATATAGGAAAGCTAGAATTTGATTTCATGGGGACGTCTGTAATTTGTAGAAGTGGCAGTCCTCTTATACTGGCTGACCTCAAAAAGGTATTAGGATGATGCCTTTGTTCTATTTTCAGGGTAAAGGTACCTTTTAATATAATCTCTGTGAACCATATAATGTGGTGAATAGGTTTTGAGTTGTTTGCCTCTACCTTTTTTCTTCCTAATTATTTTCGACGTTCTCATATTTAATTTTTATTTGTTCTCAGGTTTCAGTTTCTAAGGCACGTGCAATCATTGTATTAGCTTCAGATGAAAATGCAGATCAGGTCATTTACCAAACTCATTACCCCTTTGTTGTTGGTGACTAACTCTTCCTGAGGAACTTCTTAGTCAATGTTTTTCTCAAATTTGTCTCCAGAGTGATGCACGTGCTTTGAGAGTTGTTCTCAGCCTTACAGGTGTAAGGGAAGGCTTAAGGGGTCATGTTGTTGTAGAGATGAGTGACCTTGACAACGAACCTCTAGTGAAACTTGTTGGCGGAGAACTCATTGAAACAGTTGTCGCACATGATGTAATTGGACGTTTGATGATTCAGTGTGCTCTGCAGCCTGGCCTTGCCCAGGTAATTCAAACAACTTGATCCCTTTAGTAAGCATTACTGAAATTGGGACTTTGGGAAAGGGAAAGTTGGTTAAGACTTATGATAGTTAAATTATTAGTTAGAGGGAGTTAGTGACATAGAAAGGAGAACATAAGTAAATTGAGCATTTTCTCTTTGTGAAAGGAGAAATCCTTTGTAAAAGGGGAACTCTTGGAAGAGAAATCTCTCTCCTTTGTTCTTATTCTTTTGCAATCAACAATGCAATCTTTCTTTTTTTTCTTCCATTTTCTAATGCAGGTTCCTAATGGTAGGCCCCAGCCCTCCTTCACCTCCTTGTGACGGGTCACTCACCTATTTTCTTCATATATGTTTACAATAGCTACAGTGTGCTTACTAAGTCACATACAGAATGCCTCAACTTTTACCGAATGAATTTCTGTATGAATTAGTAATATATAGCCTGATGCATAGGTACAGAACTGATTACCATTTATCTGTCCTTCTAGCGGCTCAAATGTTGAGGACTTCATCACTTCTCTGTTGCATTTGGTTTCCATGTACCTGACCATGGTATCACTCATTATTTGTTAATTTCCTTCTCTTGGCCAGATATGGGAGGATATTTTGGGATTTGAGAACGCTGAGTTTTACATCAAAAGATGGCCGGAACTGGATGGTCTCTTTTTCAAAGACGTATTAATTTCATTTCCTGATGCAATACCTTGTGGAGTTAAGGTTGCTGCAGATGGGGGGAAGATTATCATCAATCCAGACGACAGTTATGTTCTCAGAGATGGGGATGAAGTCCTCGTCATAGCTGAGGATGATGACACTTATGCTCCAGGACCTCTTCCAGAGGTTATCTTTCTGTTCTAACTCCCCTCGTTGAACTGGGTCCATTTAGTATGATTGATTGCTCCATTGAAAAATATGCTAATTTGGTGCTTAGAATGTGTAGTATGCATTGCACATTGTCTTGGATTTATTAAATCAATGATAGTGGGTCACTCGTAATAAATTTCTGCTGTCAGACTCCAGCAGTATATATTGCATGTTGTTTTTAATGCTGTTGTATACTTGATACAGGTAAGGAAGGGCCTTTGCCCAAAGATACGTGATCCTCCTAAATATCCAGAGAAGATATTATTTTGTGGCTGGCGCCGTGATATTGATGATATGATCATGGTAATTCTCTAAATTGTTTACATTCTATATTACAGCCTTAAATATCGTAATATTTTTTAACAAGTGGCGTTGCTATCATGCACTATCATATTGACGTTTAGTAGTTTAGAAAGGACTAATTCTCTTCAATTGTTTTCTATACTCTTAGCAAGGACAGTCGGAGTTTCTTTTTTTTTTTTTTCCTTTTTGTTGCTAAGAGTAAGACCATCAGGTGTGCCCACAACCCTTGGAAGTGGTACTATTTTGAGTATTTTCCACTCAGGTGGCAGCCTTGCCTTGGGTACAATGTGCTTCCATGGGTTTCAAGCCCATGCAAGCTGGTGACTTTATCCTTAGGAATCCTGCCCAATGACATTTTTGTCATAGTTGTGTTAATAGGTTTATGGAGTCAATTTCTGGAATCTAGGCTGTTTGATTCTATCTCTCTCTCTCTCTCTGCTGAAAATTGTTTCATAGAATAAAAATATCAAAAACTTGATTTTTGAATTTTGTTTTAAGAATTAAGGTTTGAAAGCTTGAGGCAGCCCGTACAGGTGTTATGGTGGTTTGAAATAAGAGTAGAGAATCCATGAATACAAGTTAAAAAAAAACAAATAAAATGCGTTCTTAATTTTCTACTCTAATAATAGATTATGGAGAATAAGTTTTCAGAACACATTTACAAAATATAGACAAACCAGTTTTTTGGTGTTTTTTAGTTTTTGAAAACTAAATACTATTTTAAAAAACAGTAATCAAGAAAGACCTAGTATGCAGTTGACATTCTTTATCTAGGTTATTGCACCTAATGCATGTTAAATTAGATATCTTACAGTAAAAAGATATGTAAACGAGGCAGAATACCAAAGTTTCAAATTTATTGTTTATTTATCTATGAAGAACAACATCCAATCATCTCTACTGGTCTAAATAATTGTGGTTTAACATGTTGAATTGAAAAATAGAATGTATACATCAAAATAATGCTTTTATGATAATGCTTTTATGATAATACCCATGAAGATAGTACTCGGTAAGAAAATGTACTTACTCAATAGACTTGACTGATGCCTTGAATTATGCTCTTCCCCTCCGTGGTGGATGGCTGTGGCAATGGTAAACAGTCGCATAACTTTAATCTAATAGATAAATCTCCTAAAATATATGTAATTTGATTCTAATTTCATAATTTTGTAAGATTTCCTTAATCATTGTTGTTTCATAGGTTTTAGAAGCACTCTTGGCTTCCGGTTCAGAACTTTGGATGTTCAATGAGGTTCCTGAAAAGGAAAGGGAGAAGAAGCTTGTTGATGGTGGACTTGATGTTTCTGAGTTAGAGAACATAAAGCTAGTCCACAGGGAGGGCAATGCTGTAATTAGGCGGCACCTAGAGAGTCTTCCATTGGAGACTTTTGATTCTGTAAGTTTTGAATCTTTTTCTCTTCATATTTATACCATATCATGATTTAAATGAATTGGGGTGCCTCAAGGAAGGAATCCTCTAGATAACATATTTATGCTTTTATGGCATCTGCATTCTTACCCACATCCAGCTTCCTTTCAAAAAAAAGAAAAGGTGATCTAGTTAGATTGATTTCCATGTGGCTGGTGGATGGGATAAAATAACCATCCTGTCAAATATTAATATAAGCAAAATAAGAGTTGAAGTAGGATTTAAGTTTCATATAATATGTGTAGATTAAAGACAGTTGAGCAAAGTAAACAATATTTTGTCTTCAACTGTATACTAACTCTAAGAGGACAGATCCTTATTCTTGCAGATGAGTCAGTGGAGGACTCTGTTGCTCATTCTGACTCAAGATCTCTAGCCACTCTTCTGCTGATTCGTGATATACAGGTATCCAGTATCCACTACTGTTGTATTTCAGACTAAAGTTATGATGTTCATATCACTGACTACCGTAGCATTGTTTTGTGAACTGAATTTCTAATGACCCCTTTGTAGTCAAGACGTCTACCATACAAAGACACAAAGTCAACTTCTCTGAGGTTATCTGGGTTCTCTCACAACTCTTGGATACGTGAAATGCAGCAAGCTTCTGATAAATCAATTATAATTAGTGAAATTTTGGATTCTAGGACTAGAAATCTAGTGTCTGTGTCTAGAATCAGTGATTATGTGTTATCCAACGAGCTGGTTAGCATGGCACTAGCAATGGTGGCTGAAGACAAGCAAATCAACCGTGTTCTCGAGGAATTATTTGCAGAGGAGGTATCTCTCATTTGAACTTATTCTTGCTATGATCCCAGTTGAATTTCAAAATTTGATTTTTCAGTTATATTACAAAATAAAAATTACATATATTGTTTGTTGATATGGCAGGGAAACGAGATGTGTATTAAACCAGCAGAGTTCTATTTATTTGACCAGGAAGAAGTGTGTTTTTATGATATAATGATAAGGGGTCGTGCAAGAAAGGAAATTGTTATTGGCTATCGCCTTGCTAACCAAGAACGTGCTATTATCAACCCTTCAGAAAAATCTGTGCCAAGAAAATGGTCCCTTGGTGATGTTTTTGTTGTTATAGCCAAAGGCGATTGACAATCATGATTTGGATACACTGGACCCCTACCATGGCCCTCCGTTTCCCCAAGGTACTAACTAAATCACATTTTCGATACTCCTACAAATTCAAGTAACAGAGGTTTTCCCTTTCAAAGATTCTTCAAGATATTGGTTAATCTCTTTGTTAATGTCCAATATGGCAATATTATATTTATAACGTTACTGCAACTTGTAAAATAATCTTCCATATATCGACACACGTTAGGTGACTGGGGAAGAGTTCAAGTGGTGTGGGGTAACCCTAACATTTGTACAACTCATTGTTCTATGAGAAAGATTTTGCTGTAATTGGAAGAGGTTTACGTATAATGGGAGAGAAATCTATCAACACATCGATACACAAATTAAAAATTTGAATATAGTTAACTTTTATACTGTAAATTTGAGTTTTCATTCTTAATTCCCATAAAATTGTCTTGTTTTCTTTTCTTAAAACTATGTGTCCGATAATTAAATCAAATCAATATTAACTTCTGTTAATTAAATGTTCATTTGAATGAGATTTAATTTTCCTAATTTCTGTAATTGATACTTAAATTTCTTCAATCAATATTAAATATAACAAAATATTTATAAATCACCATAAACTATAATTATATCAATTATAAGATTTTTAAATTAAAAATTTCAATATATATAATTTGTTTTTCTGATCATTAATATAATTTTTAAAAGCATTATATTTATTTAACTTGTAATATTTTCACTAACTTCCCGCACAATACACGGGATACTTATTAGTTCTAAGTTGATTGTCAATCTTAATATATGTCCAAATTTGATAAAGAGAACTAATTCTGATCTGAAGTATAATAATAAAAAATGTCTAGCTATGAATAATTAAATTTTTTAAAAATAACTAATATTTTAGAGTATATATGTATAACATATTCGTTCAATTTGAATTTGATTGAATTTTAAATTTAAATCCAAAAAAGAAATCTGATCCATCTAATTATTTAATTTCTCAATTCAATTTTCATTTTTTATTTTAATTATATTAGTTTAGCTAACCAAACACATTTGCATGGGAAAGTGAAATTGAAAGCAGCAGCTACTCGTCGGTAACTCTCATTTATGGCATGGATCTGGAAATTTGTAGGTGATGGATGGCTACATTACTTATGCTTTATTTTATGTTTTTAAAAATAAAACAGCGAAAATAATAAAATAATGTTCTCAGTGTTTTTATAAATATTTAAAAGTAAAAATCAAATAAAAATATATTTTTATAATTCTTTATAAAAATAAAAATATATTATTTATTATAGTTAATTTGAATAAATTTCTCAACAAGTATGTATAAAAATTAAATAATAAAATAATCAAACTCCTTTCATAAATTAAAATTAACTTATGCTTATCTAATTTTTGAAAAAAAATTAATCAGGTTAATGTATAAGCCCACAATATAATATTATCATTTCTAAGAATATTCAATATATTAAGTCTTGTGCACTTGCATGATTATCTGCTTTATATCCAGTCTAATTGTTACGGTAGGGCTCAAATCTATTCGACAGCATTGTTATCTATTTTTTAAATTTAACATAAAATATCAGCACATGTTGTGTCAAATGCAATACTGGTTTATAATTATGCTCAGTTGTTTCAGTTGTTAGTTGATTAATTCCAAAAGATATTATATTGAGAGACCAAAGATAAGAACATTTATAGGCAGAATTTTTAAAATAAATAAATATTTTTAAATTAATTTTAAAAGGAATTCCAATCCTATTTTATTAAAATTAAAAAAAAAAAACAAAATATGACTCTCTTTATGAATAAATGTTCAAAATAAAATCCAATATACACATACCGGCATAGACAATTGTTAAATACTATTGTCACTCTTTACTATCCACAAATATTTATATTTTCATTTTGAGGGGTCATTAGTCATTACTCTTACACTTTATTTCCAGTAAAAAAGGCTTTCACAGAATATTGTCTCTACTGTTATTATACATTCTTTTATTAATTTTCTTAACACTCTATAAAAAAAATATTAAATAAAAATATACATTACATTCTTTTTTTTGTAATTTAATAAATATAAGCATTTATAGGAAGACGTTACAAGAGGATTAAGAATTATTTCAAAAACATTTTACAAAATGATGAGGAAAATTGCAACAAATCCCATTGTCAAATCTCATATTGAAATCTTCAACATATCCACCATCAAATTCTCCATCATCAGCAAAGCTTCTTCTGCAAAGCAGTTAATCTTCAAGGTTCCTTCTCCTGCAAAACCGAAATCACCCAAATAGAGAATAATCTTATTATTATACCCATTACTTGCTCAAGTTCCTGATTGATGGGAAGGGAGAAGAAGGCCTACCATAGAAAGATGGTGCTTGATCTTTTCTGTAATTGATACTAGCCTGATTTAGAGGGCACGAAGAAATAGGAAGCACAGGGAGATTTTGGCAGTTGCATATTTCTATCATATATCCATCTGGGTCATGGAAGAATAGCTGATCAACTTGAATTCCTCCATCTTCCACCACTGCTGTCACATACTTTATGTTCATTGCATCGAGTTTTTTTAGTACAAGTTTCATGTCAGAGCATTGAAAGGAAATATGATTTTCTTTGGGGTTGATCTCTCTTTTTGCCACCGGAACCTTATCTGACTCTAGTAGGTGAATGCCAATGCCATGATTGAATAACCTGAAAAATATATATATCTTAGTTAATAAGCTAGTTGTTGTTTGTGTGCAACATTTATTATCCAAATGAAATGCATGCTCGCCACTCTGGAGGGGAAAAAAAAACCAGTTGTGCGATTTTGGTATTTCAAGAAAACAAATCATTTACGCTATTTTTCTTTATATCATACTCTATTCCTTCTTAATTAATATGGTTTGAAGTAGGTGCAGTGGTGGGGGCAAATTATGAATATAATAGCAGATATGTGAAAATAATACGAGGGCCCCTCAGATTTAATTCGCTAACAAAATATATATTTTTCATGAGTAAATATCGTTGAAATAAAAAGATAAATCAGAATGAAAAAGAAAGATCGTGATATATGGAATGGATAATATGATGTAAAAAAAAACAATAGATAATATAAGATAAAATCAGGATTATTCATGAAATCTTGCTATAGCCCCCCAACAAGCCTTCTGAGTTCTGACCCAGTGGCCTTAAACTTTTTATTTTTGGTTGTTAGTATTGAGTTGATTGATAATCGCAACATAATAAGCAATAGTACTTATGACACACAAAAAAGCAAAAAAGCAATAGTACTTATAAGGGCTAGGCCAGTGGATGAGTGGGTCATCTCATTGCACTCTGTAAACAGCTGCCATTTTATTTTCTTTGTTGGTTCCAGTTAACATCCAATCATCATATATTCATAGCCAATAAGAAAAATATCTGCACTCCTACCTATCTATAATGTACGAATTCATCGCTATTGATTAGAGTGGGGAGCCTCTCTTTGTTACTCTATTTTAATCTTTTACATGCAAGCATTTTTTTTAATTTGATGGTGTATAAAAATGTTTTTTAATCTAATTATTGAATGTACAATCATTTTTATCCTTATTTTTACGGCAATTTTTCTTCTTCCAAATTTTTAATACTTGCTATATTTCTAAAGACTCAAATTTAAGATTTCAAGAATTGATATAGAACAACTTTAGCCACATGATAATCAATAGTAAGAAAAAAAATTTGTACACAAAATAATTAAATTAAAAGTAGATACTATGTACAAGGATCATATAATCATGCCAAAATAGATGTAAACTTTTAAATGAAATTTTACAAGTGTGACCACTTTGCCCTAGATATAAAAAATTAATCGTTTAATTATAACAATTTTCTTACGAACTTTTTTAATATATATATTTTTTTAAAAATAGTGATTATTTTTGTAAATAAACTATTATCCTAAAATAGTGAATATGCTAAGTATTGACAACTTCAAATTTCAACACCTAACATTGCAAACAAAAATCGCTCGAAGTTAAAAAAAAAATCATTATAGGTTAAATGCCTTTAATGGAATTTTTATGTTTCTAAAATTTTTAATAAATTTTAGTTGTTTGTAATAATTATCTTTTAGAAAATTATTACTCATGTAAATAAGTATAAAAATTCCTTCAACAATATTATTTATCAAAACAAGTCCTTATAATTTACTTGAGTTTTCATAGTTGCTACAGTTTAAGTTACGGAATATCAAGAGGCTATCAACGAATAAGAACTTAATTTTTTTTAAAATGTATAAACCCTATCAAAAACCATGTAAACAACAAAAGATCCATTTTAAATTTAGTAGAATATATATAATTGAAATTACTTTTTACTGCGTGTCTGTGAATATGGAATCTGCTGGTCCTATACAAAGAGTGTAGGACTGTTCTGAATTTAAGTGTGGCCTCGGCAGAACATCTAACAATGTACTTGGTAAATGCACTTCTAGTTTAACACTAAAGTGAAAATGTATCCTATCTAATGTTGATTTTCACTCACTCACTACTCTTCTAGACCTTCCATTTTCATTCATGCGAAACACATCCTGAAAAGGAAAGTTGTTTAGGGACTGTAGAAACAAATGGCAGATATTTTGTTTCATGCAAGAAGTGCTTCAATTTTTAAAAAAAACCATTAATGGGTGTTTATAAAAATATGTAATTGACACTTTTTTTTCAAAGCATTGCATGAAAAATCTAGCAGAGTAATTGGGAACGTACCATGCCCCTTCAAATTTGAAAGAAGATGGCCTCTTAATGAGCACAAATCCCAGCACATTCTCATAGAATTTCACAGACTCACTCACACTCTTGCATACATAAGAAACGTGGTTCAGTGAAAGCATTGGCAGAGGCATTTCTTTTGATGAAACCAATGACCCTTCTTCCATTTGCCCCATATCTCTGTTTCTCTCTCTCTCACACACACTCTCTTCAAACACTCACAATGCCAAATTAAGGGATATGTGTAAATGTGCTGCTTAGGAAGCAACCTCACAATGAGTTTATATAATGGCTAAAAGGGTTAAAACTAAACGTGTTTTTTTGGAGGTGAAGCTAAGGGTGTTGCTTTTGTATACTTTACAGAAAAAATGAAAAGGAGAGAAAGTATGTGTTCACAGGTCACACCTCATCGATTCTATCCTCAACAGCCATCTGTTTCTTTTGTCGTTTTTGGACGATGGGTCTACTTGCCTTGCAAAACGTGGCACACGTTGTAATATTGTCTACAATGAATCCGAGAAATCAAAACAGTGTATTTTAAGATAATTGATGATCGTTTCTTTTCTCTTTTCACTTTTTATTTAAAAGGATAATAATGCTACTGTCTTTTATTTGTTCTTTATTGTTTTGAGAAAATATATATTTTATCAAAAAATTAATACTTCAAATATTTAAAGACAAAAGCTTTTAAAAGATTAACAAACTTTAAAATATACTTTGGTAATAATTTGTTAGAAAATTGATTATTATATTGTGTTTGAAAAACCAAATGAAGGACAAGTGTTTTTTTTTATCATTTCTTTCATAACCAAAAAAAAAGTTTTATAATTATCAATAAAAATTACACGTGATTGTGTATAAGTTGGTGTAATGATGTGTGATTAGATTAATTAGAATATGACAGTTCCTCTCTCTGAAATTAGAATATGATAGGAGCCGACCACCCTTTTCTTCTTTAGAAAAATCTGAGATATGATTAATTTGACTTGGCCCACAAATTTGAAATTTAACCTACTGCTCTATTTTGGGTGATTGTAAATATTCTTTTACTCTGATTTTGTTAAACAAAATCATTCTCTTCTAACCTTTTAATATTGTCTTTATCCTTATAACACTTCAAAATTACATAAACGGTTAGTAAGAACTAGAGTTACTTTATCAGTATATTATATGATTCTTTGATAATTTAATTAAATGATATGTTATAACATATTTTAAAAGTTATAATATTTATAGTTTGATTTTAAATATTTAATAAATTAAAAATATTAACATATTAAATATTTAAAATAAGTTATTTGAAGTATTTTTTAAAAATAATTTTAAAAAAAGATAACTGCGATAATGTTGAAGGTGATTTTTTTTCACAAGAAACTCAACTTTGTTTTCTTAAATTTACTGTTTTTTATCTTTGTTTTTTAAGTTAGTTTGTATATTTTCTTTATATTTTTAATACCTTTAATAGATTCAACACTTAAAGTTTAAATTTAAGATTAAAAAGTTGAAAAGAATACTCAAGTTAAGAAATTGAACAAAATCAAATAATTCTTATTTGGAATAGTGACACATAGGCTTCGTATATCCTACTTGAATATCACTTACACCTGATTTTTTCCTTCCAAATAGCATACAAAATTGTTTTCCAAATCCAATAATCCAAATAATCATACTCTCTTTGTCTTGTCATATTTTGAATTGTGATCTTTGTAAGTAAAATTAATTAAATTTAAAAATATCGTATACTCGTCTCAATTCCCTTAACAATAGACAACTAGGCTAAATCGGTATAGAGATAATAATTAAAAAGACATAATATAAACTTATTACATAAAAAATAATTAAAACAAGTAACATAATCACAATAACTCATTCTATAGTCCTAATTCCAGGTGTTGGCATGAATTGTGCAACTTTTGCATAATCATATCCCTTTTCATTTGGTAAAGATGGTAGTGGATTTTGCTAAAGTGATGTGGGAACATTTGCAATAGGTGACCTTGTCCTAATGGTTAATTTAGGCCAAATTATACCTCTCTTTTCTTGTGATACTGCATCTATTAGCCCTTCTTTTGCAGGTACAGTGGATGATTGTTGTGTTAAGGCTTCTTCTACAGGTATGGTGATGGACTGATGTGTTGAGTTATTGTTTTAGACTTGAGAGTTTTTCATTGTTTGCTTTTTTAGTACAGGACAAGTCTGTTTGTTGTGCTTTAGAACTCCACAACATGAACACCTAACTTGTGATAATTTTCTTTTCAGTTTATGTTTCTGTGGATTCTCAGTTGTTTACTTTCCTTATTCATCTTTTCTTCTTTGCTTCTTAGGTTTGCCTGCAGTCGTCTTAATAGCTGGTGGCAGTGGTGAAATTAGCTCACTTTTCTCCCAAAAATCTTGACCTTGTAATGGTTGAACATGATGTTCATAGGTTGCACAACATGCTTTAATTGTTAACCATCCATGGTAGTAATCTTCTGGTCCCTCATTTTTATATGCTATTGTAGCAATAGCATGCATGCAAGGCATACCTGTAAAAATTATAAGAAAAAAAAAATCAAACATTATATATGCTATATATTCATATAGATTTAACACATTAACCATCATATAGAATTAACTAACCTGTTAATTGCCAAAATCTACAAGTGCATGTGTAGCTGCCCAAGTGAACAACAACCTTAGTTGTGGAACATTACATTTCAAATTTATGAATGTCATCATCACATATGATAGAAGTTTAGTTAAGAAAAATTTAATGTTATACTACTAAAAATTATCAGAAAATTAGGATTATGTTTACATGTTCATATTGTTGTCAACTTAATGCTTTGTTGTTTTAATTTCTCCAGCCTACTTTGCTGTATAGGAGGCAACTGGCATGCATGAGCTGTCAACTTCAACTTATTGGTAGTAATTGTTGTCATAATATAGTATTAGACTTCTTCCAGCATTGTTAATATTAGTTTACACCTTGCATTTATAATCTTTGAGTTAAAGACCTCGCAATTATTGTTACAGATGTTATCCACTTTTGGCCATTTACTAAAGTATGCCTTAGTCCATGCCTCCTTTGGTCACTTCTCTAAGTATGCCCATGCCTTGTCGTTTATTGTCTTTATTGTGTAATTGAATTGTAAGATGATGGTTGATCTTGTATATTCCCATACAAGGTGCTTCACCTTTCCATTGCTTACAGAAATTTTGCTATAGATGTCACATATAAAACCTATGGTGTGCATCTCGCATCACTTCTTGCAAAGCTAGAATCAAACCCTGCAATAAAATACGAAGTTCATTTTAGTCCTTAATAGAATAAAAATCATGCAATTTAGTCCCTAAATGATTTATTATTCATGCAATTAAGTCCCTGTCAATTCTAAGGAATGAGTAACTTCATCCTACGTAGATGTTTACCTTCTGCATGTCAGATATGAAATTTCAACCATGTTGCTTATAATCTCTCATATCTTCATGTAAAAGTGATAAAAACCAATATCAATTCTCTTTATTTCAACATCCACAACATCATAGCTATTACCCATATATGATTATTAGCATCCTGTCTTACTGCTGTCAATAACTATCTTCGGTAATAACCTTTTAAAAATGCATCATCAAGCTCTATTATTAGTCTGCATCCAGCCTTAAAGTCATTTTTGCACCCAGTAAGGCATATATACAATCTTTTAAACTGCGGTGGACCTTCAACTTGAGGATCAATTTCCATTTTGACAATTGAACATGGATTATTTCTCAAAAGTTCTCCACAATAGTCCTATAACTTCCCAACTTGTTCTTTCTCACTTCCCTCTACAATCTCTCTTGTCTTAACCATTGACCTGTATATTTTGGTATATTCTATCTGCACACCAAATTTCTTTTTAAAGTACTCAACAACTTCAGAATGTTTTATATTAGAGTATTTCCTTAGTTTTATAACAAGCTTACCTACAGCCCAATCTTGTGTTGCTTATTTTTTTTAAAAAAAACCCTGCCACAACTATCCTTACTAAGAAAATTCTTGATCTGGAAGCTATGTGAGACATTATTTTTTGTACAATATATTTTTCACTTACAGTTTTCATGTTTACACTTAGCTCTTGCTCACACTTTGTCATTTTTTACCCATCTTATTTCTCTTCCATCTGAATTGTATAATCTTTAATACCTTTTTTAAAAGATTGTAAACTTTCAAACTCCATTCCCAGCTCCAAGTTAACATTTCCAAATTTTGCAGATTCATTAAATTGGGAGAAAACTTGTTTGTTACTATCTTCATCATTTGAGTTTGCTGGAGTTAGTAATTCTTCAGACCTCTATGAATTTTCAGAATGCTCTTCTCTTTCTTTACATTGGTATGTTTCCCTATAACCCACCTCTCCTACATCTTCCATACTATTTTCAGAAAGTTCCTCATGTAAATAATCTTCTTCATCAATATAAGTAGTTTTTCTTTTACCTTTACCTTTACCTTCAGTTTTTTTTTATCACTTTCCCTTTTCCTTTTTATTTTCCCATGCTTTTTTTTTTTTTTCTGTTTTTGTTCTGATGTAGCAGATTGGAGGTTGTCTTTCCTTACGCTTATTCGCAAACTTCTTCATTTTATTTCTCCAGCTAATTTACTTAGAGTCGCCTTTTCCTTTTTCTTTTCCTTTTTGTTTTCTCTTGACCTTTTTCTTCTGTTGTTTCCTTTCAACTTTTACTTTTACTTTGTGGACTGCTGTTATATCTTCAACTTCTAATTCTTCAATTGTTACATCTTCAACTTGTACTTCTTCCATTGTTGGTTGTTCAACTTCAATAGCTTCTTCTATTGTTGCTTGTTCAATTTGAATTTCTTCTTCAATTGCTGTAATATCAACTTCAGGGCCTTCCAATATTAGAATTTCACTGTCTTCAAACAATTGTGGTTTATCAATCTCATGCTCATAATATACATGCATCTCCCTTCTATTCTTTTTAGCAACAGCCACCATTTCCAACACATCAGCATCATATTTTAATAATTTCAAACCTTCATCACACTCTTTATCAAGGTCAGATCAGAATATATTTTTTATGTTACTGAAATACTCCATTATCTTGGCAAAGTTTATGAAGCTAAAAATATCTACCATATCTTCATCAACATCAGTCTTAACCTCAATTTTATCTCACCTGTACTCCTTAATTTTATTTTCTTCCACAAATTTTTCTTTATGGTGAATGTAAAACTTAATTATCTGCATTTACATAGAAACAATTATAAAAAAAGTCAAGAATCTTTTGCAACTTTAAACTAATTTAATGAA